CGTCGTCGTAGCAGTACTAGTAGTAGACTACACCCGAAACATCTCCCATCCAGGCCGGCTGATCGTCCGCAGGATCCATCGGAGGATCTTCGAGGGACCTCGGAATATCCGTAGCATGGATAGCATGACCAGCGGCGTGGCTGCATGACTCGTAATACGAGTGGTACAAGTTGCCATGGTAATGCGATTGTGTTTAGCACTTGGTTTAGGCCACTCAAGCTGGTCCATGTGCACAGTCTTAGATTTCGTTCTGCCAGGCCCCAAGCTGACACAAAATGACATGATGTTGTACTGAAGCCGCATACCGTCGCAGAACCTTGTAAAACGAGCCAGCCAGCTCGATGAACTCAAACCAACACCCAACCCAAAACCCTGCAAACCCCGAAACTCAACGAGAACTCACGCATGATAAGCTTCAGCCCAGCAGCGGCAAGGTCAGCGTCTCTGCATGCTCGCCTGGCTACATCGGAGAAGATCAGAGTTGATGACTTGGTGTTCAGGAGTTTGCGCTCTAGGGCATCGAGGTCGCGTATGCCATCTGTGTCATTCGTCAAGGCACATGAGCGAGCAAGAGGCCCAAAGACAGATCGATGATACCATCCACTTTGCAAAGGCAAAGTGCGAATTCATGCATAACGCAAGCAGAAGATTCCTTCATGAATCGAAACCAACGGGCCGCCTCGTACCAAAACTGAAAGCCCTGGCCGCCTAAGCTCAAAGTTCTGAACCCAAAGCCGCAAAATCCCGTACACTCGCCAAGAACACGGGGCCCCTCACACGGAGAGACCTAAAGCCCCCGCGAGCGGGGCCTGGAGGATCCGGTTGCTGGACGAGGCACTCCACTTGGTTCACCTGAGAAAACAGCAACAACCAATACTGGTAATTAGCAGTCTAGTGAGTCTAGTCTACTCGTCGTTGATTGCCCTCTACATCTTCCACTCCCAGATTCTACTTCTTCTTCGTCTTCTTCGGTCGTAGATGCTGGGACTCTCTGCACTATACCCGAAGATCCCAGCCCCTTCAAGCAAAGAACTTGTGTGTATCTTGCATAAAGCATGTGAAATCATACACCCCTATAGCGACTCCGAGAACACAGAGTCCAAAGTTCACCTAGCCTCTTATGTCCCATGAGGCCCGAACCTGAAGAAAATTGGGTGCAGGGTTCACCTCTGCTAGACGCAGAACACCCTCAACTTTAATCCCAGCAACAACCTAAACCCAACACGCCCTAAACCCAAACAGCCCCAAATACAAAAAACCTTCACAATACCTGAACCCCCAAAACCCCTAAACCCTTCACTTTAAACCCTAAGCCCTAATGCCAGGTCTTTTCTGCCGGCAGCTTTCGCTCTCGCGCGGTCCAGGCCTCTTCTCAGGCGATCTTAGCGGCGTCCTTGGTGAGGGCTTTAGGGTTTAGGGTTCGCAGTTTGGGATTACCGGTTGAGGATACAGGGTGATGGTGATGATCAGGGCCTAGGGCATCTATATAGAGATATAAGGGCTTGGAACCTTGATTGGGACACGAATGGCCCTTCTTGTAGTGCCCACAAACCTTCAAGCAGGATGCTAAGGAGTAGGGCTTGGGAGGGGAGGCGAGGGACACATAGGAGATGGCTTGCGGCTTAAGGATCGGGAGGAGGGTGCAGGATTGTGGGGCTGGGGTTAGGTTTCCAAGTTTTTGGCCTCGGATTCGGTTTAGGGCGTTTAGGGTTTCCTTCGAGTTCAGGCGAAGGGTCTAGAGTGTGGGGCTATGATGGTAATGCGGGATTTCAGCTGAACATGCAACAAACAGCAGACGGGCCAGACGTTGCTCCAGGAAAGCACGGCACGACTTCGGGTACGCCCCAGAAAGCATAACTTTGCACTCGAGCTTGCGGATAAAACCAGACTCTCCCTGCGCCCTACATTCGAACAGCCTAAACCTTAAATGTACCGCTCAGGGCATAGGACCCTGAACTGCCCTTCTGTATACACATACATATATCCCTACGCTCTGAAACCCAGGTTTCGCAAATTCAGGGGCCAAAGTGCCCATGGTCATGCCCACCAGGGAGGTCGTGGAGACGGTGATGTTGGGCAGGCGGTCCATTTCCATCTCCTGACTTCCCAGGATATCTTGGCCTCGCTCTGACCACTTTTGATGAAGTTTAGGGATTAGAGTTTTTGGTCTATGGTTTCAGGTTATGGGGTCCCAGGGTTGGAGCTTTAGGCTTCTGGTTTAGGAGTACAATGTCAGTTGATCGGGCTTAGGGATTAAGGGTGCACCACTTTGAAGCTTTATGGCCAGGGTCGAATAAGCGAACGAAGTACCCCAAGGAAAGGAACTTAAGAGGTCGTGCTGCGAGTGGAGCTCAGGGGGGGGGGGGTTGCCCTTCAAGGGTTCTTAGCCAAAGAGCCCGAGTAATCTAAACCAGGATGGTACTTTGCCAAAGTAAGCTTCAGCTTCAGATGGCCTCCCGTCGAAATCACATAAACTTAGGACCTTCCTTCATTCCTAGAAAGTAGTAGTGGAAAAGTAGTGCTTTCAGCTCAGACGCTGGCAGAAACGATGCACCTAAGTTCCCTCTCCTTCAGCATGTCCCTTGTGTCACCATCCACCTGGATGAAGCTGGTGTCCACCTGCCAGACACAAAGCAATGCTGTGGACACTGCTCTGGGCTCATGAGCATTCGGGATGTAGCGATGGGCATGTACGGTTGATTTGGAGCTCATGGTATGCCTGTAGAAATATCGGTAATTGAAAACAGGGTTGCATTATGCAGTGTGTAGAAACAGAAACTCCAAGTAAATGAGCTGCAATCCCGAATGACGGTCTCCTAATGCCATCCATATCTGTCTGTCTTTCCGTCGGTCCGACTACCTATGTCCATAAGGACCCTTGGCGGGGGGAGGGGGGTAACTGAGAAGGGTTGGCCATAATTATCCGAACCGGGACCTGTATTTGAGAAAGCATAGTCCCCCACGACCTCCCCCATATGCCCCCTTAATTAATCTATCTATCCCATCTAGCTATCTACCGAGCTATTGTACCGATCTGTCTGTCTGTCGGTGTGCCTATCGCTCAGTCTGTCTGTCTATCAATCTACCTATCCATCTATCGAGCTACTCTATCGATCTAAACTGATCCAATCTAATCTAACCTCACCGCACCTCATCTCATCTAATCTATCTGTGTATACAGCCACATCTGAGCCTTGAAGCACATCGCTGCACTTAAGATATCATTGCTTCTGTCCAGGGTTTCGGAGGTCGCATATTGAGGCATCGGGACATTGCAAGGTGCCTCCTAGAACTCCCCCGCCCCTCTCCGAACACCGGCAACTCCTTCAACCCTCTGACTGTTCAGCATCCCACCCCGATGCATCCCGACGCTCCGAAACCCTAGACTCTGCAGGTGCCTCAGACCGGTCCGGCACGAACTCCATGCGTCGCTCGCGCTCCTACGTCTCTAGATTTGCAGACCAAGTTTCGTCGGTTCCAGTTTTGATGCAGATTTGATCTTATCGATTGCTTTGTCTGCTATTTTGCCTTAATATTTACTGCACCTCCTCCTCTGCACCAAACCCTCAAACCGCCGAATCTCAACAATTACTAATCCGAAACCCGAAATCTCAAACCGCTAAATCAAATCCCAGACGCCAGAGTTTAGTGTTCAACGGTTTAGGAGCTAAGGTAAAAGCCCTAAACCCTAAAACCCGACAGCCCGTCCCAAACTCAAAAACCCAAAACCCTAACAGCCGGAGTCCTCCTCCTGCAACTTCAGTGAGATGCCACGAACAGGGCCCTGAACAGGAGGCTCTTCGAGGGCTGTGAGGGCTCAGGCTTTTTTGGGTTTGACGGATCAAGGATTTTATGGCTTAGGCTTATTAATTATGTCCCGGGGTTTGGGCCAGGGGTTCAGCTTCAGGATGTAGACTTCAGGGGTTTCGGGCTCAGGCGGGTGGGCTTTGCGGTTCGGGGCTTGGGGTATGTCTGAAGCTTCGAAACAGCAAGCGCAGTTGAGAAGGTCGGGGTTCGGCCTTTCGGGTGAAGAAGCCCTGATGCCAAAGAAACCCATTCAACACCGAAAATGGGGATGCCGAAACCCTCATGCCTGATCCAAAACAGGCACAAGCTGAGACCCTTGCTGCTTTGCGTATCAGGGCTTCGACTTCAGGGTTTGATCGTGGATCCGGCCTTCTGGATTCGCTTCATGAGGTGAGTAGTGAAGCCTGCGATCTTGTTGCGGAGGCGCTTCGATGGAATGGTGGCCACTTCCTGCGAGGGCTCGTGTAAGAAGGCCGGCTATCGAGCTGGTACGTCAGGGTTCAGTGTGTGCTAAGGCATAGGTATCCGCGAAGTGTGAAGCGCTGTGACGGATTTTATGGCTTCCCCGTTCTCTTCCCATACATGTACTGATCAGCAATGCAGAAAGTGCCAGAACGTCGGAACGTCATCATACAATGACAACAACATAGGGAGCCGCAGCACGAATCATGCTCATCCTATGTTCCCTGCACCACTCTCGACACTTCTGCGATGCAGCGAAGCGATGGGTCTATTGTCAGATCCCCAAATAGTATGGTCGAAGCAAATAATGCTGTCAACCCGGTGTCAACCCGGTCACACTATCCAGGCCAAACAACTGACCGACAGCAGCTAATTGTTCTGCGTGTGCGATGATAGTACTGGGGATAGCAATAGTAGTGCAATTTGTAAAAGAAAGAATTGCTGCCTTCGTGTCATTATCATGGTAGCACCCCTGCTGACCCGTGTAACTCTCGCTATAAGAACATCTTCACTGGCAGTAGCAAGTCTTATGCCTTATGCAATCCTGTAGCCCTTGCAAAAACCAGCGATACGTGTGACAAGAAAGATACAACAAGAGCACGAGTGGTATGAATACCGCCAATAGCACCCGACCTCTGTAATCTTCTTGTTGACCTTGGAAAGGGGCATTGTCTACAATTGAAGCTCTGAAGAGGAGCAGCTTGGCTTGGCTATAGGGATCTAGTGTGGGTGCATGTGCTTCTGACCTGGCAGCGCTGTGTTGCACTCGTTTGCGATCCCGTGTTCCGCCAAAGCAGACTGAACCTCAAAATGCAGCGGCAGCCCTCAACAAGCGAAGGCTGCACTCTGCTATGACAACCGCTGCAAGCCCGGTTATTGCCGCTGCAAGCATTCGCGAAGCTTTCCAGGCAGAGAGCCTGGAAGTCGAGGGTCAGCTTGCTGTAATACTTCTCGACGATGACCCGGGCAGCCTGGCAAGAGAGGCCTTTGGCGCCTTGGAATTTGAGAGTCGGGCCCAGGCTCGGGATGAGCTGTAGTTTGCAGGGGCCCATGGAGGTCGAACCCTCTTCGTACAGGAAGTTGATGGAGGCTGCATGCAGGAACACGTGACATGGACAGTTCGATCTTGGAGTGGAACTGCAAGCATTCGCAGTCATGTTTTGGGCCCAAGCATGCAGTGCAGCGCTGGAGCCCTAAACCACAATAGGGCTTGGTGCTCTGGGAGCTCGCACCGCTTCAGGCATGAAGCAGGTATGTTTGTTACAGAACATATGCAACTTCTTGTTGCTGCTTGGATGGTACCAGGGTTCCTTGTTGGCTATACAGATCTCAAGGGACCCCACACCCCGAAGGCAAGACCCCCAAGTCCACCAAATCCTAGACCACCTAAGTCTGGCGCTTGCCTCGCCCAAGCTTCTCCGGAAATCTCAACCCACAAGGCCGGAAATATACGGCCAGCCCAAAAAAGAAAATAATGGAACAAACAATGGCTTCAATAAGCTTTATCAGCAAAAGCAATGTTCATCAAGGTTTAGATTTATGAACAATGGCGAGGCCTTCTTCACCGTCTTCGTTCGAACTCGGCCCATGGCTGAAAGCTAAGCGTTGCGAGTTGCGCGATGAGCTAAGGTGCGTCCCTCGTGAGCCAGATTCAGCAGGTTGCATAAAGGCCTCAATGGTTAGACTAGGGTTTTGTGCTTTGGGCCAATGTGGGGCTTTTAAATTTAGTCATATTACGGAACCCTAACGACTATTTGTTCAGGCCGCCATATTGCATGTCACACTCGGTAAGTAACTTCGCCTCGAACCGCACTTGTGTCCGTATGTACATTTCTACACTTGTACATAGATCCGTGCATACATGGCTACATGTGTGTACATATGCACATGCATACTTCTATACAGGTATGCATATAAAGCATATGATACATGACAACTACTTTCATATTTAACACCTATACGGGTTAACAAATAAATAAAACATATATATATATATATATACATATATATATATATATATATATACATCTATCTGAATGTATGTGCATACCTATATGTATAGGTATATAATATCAACCATAAAACATAAGATTCTTTGTCGAAAGATAATCAACAGCCGTGGCCAAGCGCTTGGCAAGAACATCTGCAGAACCGATCTTCTCCTGCACCACGGAGAGTCTGGGGCTTAAGGGCTTAAGGTCTTAGGGGTGAGATCAGCATCGCGGTGATCAATGGAAGGAGCAACGTCGAACTGAAGATACCAGCAGCAACACGAGCCGTGGTGGCGTGGCGGGGGTGAACATCGAATACAGGCTGGGCTCCTCACGATCAAGCCAGGTTGCCACTGAGCCCTACGGCCCTACAAAGTCCCGATCAAAAACCTACTTGTACTTACAAAAGCTCGAAAGGCCGGGGCTCATAAACCCAAAACCCTCAAGGCCTACAAACCTGTCATACGAACCCCGTGGACTAATGGAGCATGATACAGGCTAATCCTATGCACCCGTAACCTGTAGCCTCATCGAACCCTTCAGGGAACCCTGAAAAGGAAGCCTTTGAGGAACCTTTGCCCGAAGTGCTGGGTGACCTCGTCGCCCGTGAACTCCAGCTGTGCATGGCCCCAGACGGAGATTCCATAGCGAGCTTCCTGCGAGTGTTAGGATTCAGGGCTTAGTGTTCAGGGTTCATGGCTTTGGGTTTCGGCTGGAGGGCTTAGTGCTTAGTGTGAACCTGGCGCAAGCAACTTCCAGGAGTGGTTCATAAACTCTTGTTGTATGGACGGTTGTCTTGGGATTGAGGCTTGAAGGTTTGGGGGTGGGTTTGTCGGAGACTAGAGTGATCGCATGTCAGACCAAAAAGTCCACCGAAGCCACAGGCTGTAGCACAAAGCCAAAACCCTAAGATAGGGGCCTTAAGAATTAGAATAGGGTTTCGGGATATATTATACTATAGTCATACTAAGGAACCCCCAAAATAATATAGGTAATTCTTTAGGCCCCTATATTAATATACAACGGACATCCCACAACGGTTCCTGGGGGGATGCCAGCTCCCTGCGGCCGTGGGTGGCGGATGCAGATACACGGACTGCAGCCTGCATTGCAGCAAAGCATCAAGGTGGCAGGCCTTGCCTCTTTTTTTGCACTGCATCAAGATACATCAAGCATAAAGAATGTAAATCAAGGGATTATGGGAGCCAGAATCCTGTGAGTTGACTGTCAAGGGCTCTTTTCGTTGTCGTTGTTGTCGTCGTCGTGAGAGTCGAGGGACAAGTCGTGATGATGTTAGTTGCCGTTGCTCTTAAAGTCTTATACTTTCACAGCCTGCATGAGGAGTCGTCGCAGTACCCCTAGAAGCAGTCTCACTGGGATCAGGTGGTGTGTGCCCTGTTACCACCTAACCAACCCAACCCTCGACAGCTTAACAGTGCAAACACTGCAGAGCCTCCGTGGAAGCAGCAAAGCCTCGGCAGCATGGAAGGATTACCACAAGTGGAATCGGATTCGGAGAGGAGGCTCCCTAGACCGCTTTTGAACCTGAAGCCTGACGGCTGAAACTTCAAGGAGGCAAGGACACAGAATCAATCCTACAAAATAGCCCCGAACCATGAACAAAGCCCCTATATTGAAGGCGATGCCAGCCGTGGCTTGAAGTTTGCAAATCTTCCCCCCTACCCCTTCGGTTGTTTGGGATGGAAAGCTTTCTGGCTTAGGAAACAGAAGCCCCTTGTCAAGACAGCGAACCTAGAGAACAAGTCGTGCCTTGTCTTCATATCCCGATTTGCAGACCCCTAATGCCTAACGTGAAGGCATGAATTAGGCCAGGGCTTGCGTCAACAAGAAGCATCTAAAACCCTTTCAGCAACCAGCCCTACACCCCAACTCAATACCCAACCCTAAGCCTTAAACATTGACCCTACGCCCAAATACCCCAACCTTGCATCCTGGAGATCCTAAACCATCAATCCGTTCGATCCTAAGCCAGAGAACTTAAACTTAAGCCTTATTATACCAAAACCCTTTCCACGATCCTAGAACCCTGAACTCTAAACTCCTAAAGCCCCAAACCTCTTCGACCCCCTAACCAAGGAAAGGCCCAGGGTCCCGGCTGAAACGTATCCACACGGGCTGCTGGCCCTTGAGTGGCGCGGCCTGCCCCGCATATACATCGCGCTCCATCATGCAATAATAAGAAGCAATACTCTCCGAGTATACTCCAAGGCACATTATCCTGTATCGACATTCCAAGTCCAAGGTGGGCAGGACGGCAGAAGCAGTTTGGACGGTCTCAGAGTCTGAGGCTTTCATCCAAAATCAAATCTTCAGAGCATTCGGGGTTTAGGGGCCTTGGCAGTGTAGCAAGAACTCGTTTTGTGTTTTTTGACTCCTCTGATACACTGCTCGCGCTAAGGTGGTAAAAGCGTAGCCGAAAAGAAATCACCTTTGCGGTGCACAAGAAGTGTGTGGGACTTGGGATGCCGGGATGCAAAGAGCCGCCCGGCAACCACGAATGATGATACCTCACCCTTAGACGGATTATGCAATTGGAATCACATGAACCTTCTAAGTCACAAACAAGTGCCGAGGCTATCCGTCATCATCAACACCATGTCGATACTCGCGTGCACGATTCGAACAGTCTTGCCAGCCCGAGTTGCCGACCTTAAGACTAAGACGGGCGCCTAAACACTTAAAACAGGGGTTTGGGCGTATGTAGGAACCCTAAGGAATGCAGTTGGTAATTCAGGCCCTGACATCCTTAGCCCTATCCAAGACTGTTCAAGGACCATGCGCAACGGGAGGCCTTCGTGCCGAAGCGTGCTTTGAACGCCTGCGAGATGCAGGATCGACAATTTGGGCACAACGGCTGTGGGGTAGTGTGTAGCAAGGCAACGGCTTAGAAACCACACATGCCTCATGTGTTTAGATCCGTTGAATCGATGTAACAAGGGAGCCAAGCCTGCTCTTCACCTCGACCGCTCTGCGCACGTCTGCTTGAAGCTCCGTCATTCGGTCACATTGGTCCTCTTAGTCCCCGAAAAGCTTGCTCGTTCCTTCTGCTTCGAATCGCCTACTACATACGGCGGACATCGGCGGACCTTCGTTGCTACTCTCTACGGCGATATGGACAACGTGGTCGAGACCACTGGGATTGCTTTCAAGCAGCGGCCATTCCAATGCCATTCAAGGATGTCGGATGCTTCGAGTCATGACACACCGGACAAGGGGCCCCAGTCCAAAAGCACACGTCTGCGGAGGCCAGACCAAATCTTATCGATACGTGCAATGGAAGCCAGCCTTAAATATGAATGCTGCGGGATGTTTTGCCCTAGCCCACTCCCAAGGCCTGTAGCAACCCAGTGGCAGCGGCAGCAGCCTTGGACTTTCGGCTCAGGTCTCAGCATGTGCTTTCGTAGTTTGTCAGCCGTTCACCTCGATATCTTAGACGAGCCATCTCTTTGTTTCTCTCTCCCATCTCCCAAATTCCTTGACTCTGGAAGCACCCTCAGCTCCTAAACGGACACAACCCGTCTAACCAGTGCTCCCCCGGGCAAAGCCGTGACAGGTCCCGCGCTCGCACCGTAGCTTTCCTGGCAGGCTGAAACTCGGTTTCCGGAAGACAGTAGGATTTGCACGACACTCTTGGGCACGTCTAGAAATGGTCTGCGCAAGACCAGAAACATTTTAGCTGACGAATGGTTTCCAACATAATCATGTGAAGGTTGCTCCATGCTCCAAGTATTCCAGAATCTGTTGTCGGCCTGTCCTTAAATTACTTGCTTACATGGCAGGGTCGGGTGTTGACGGACTCGACAGCTGATTGCTGCCCAACAAGATGGTAAACAACCTAAAGACAGGGTAAGATATGCTAGAACATGAAAATTCATGAAAGCATGATCGACATGGTTCGGCAGCTTTAGTCGACATGATTCGGCAGCTTTAGTCACGAAGTACGAATGTCTCAAGAAAGCACAGAATTTTGTGAAGTGAAATGAAGAAAGCAAAAACACTCGCAGTCCAAGCCGCTGTTTGGTCCAATGCCGGAAGCTCGCTGCCCTGGCCTTTGCTGCCTGCGAAGGGGTTTAGCTGTAGCTGTTTCTTTGAGGGCTTACAGGGTTTCGGGCCCCCCAGACAAGCACTAGAAGTGGATGCAAGGAGCTCTTGAAGCTTCTCCGAAGGCCATGTCATCCGGCTCTAGTTCCTTCTATTCCGACCTACATGTGGGTGTTCGTGGGGTGCAATGTGTGGTTGATATAATACAGTCCATGAAGCAGCGATGCTATGAGTTGGTAGAGTGGCTGCCCCCTAGTAGCAGCCACGACTGCTCAGGAGCTGATGAGTTTGGTCTGTGCAGCGTTCATTTATTTCATGCGTCCTTGTTGTTTTTTTGTTTGGGGGGGGCTCTGTAAAGGCCCACAAGACAATGCAAGCGGTCTCATCACCTCCACCGCAATCGCCGCCATGGGCTTGGGACTGAGAGGCTCCAAACCCGTCGGAACGAAAAAGGTTTAGTGTAGCTTACTCATGCGCCAAGCATTTGGCACACTGTTTTCGGACAACTGTGAAAGCCCCATATCAAAAACACATCA